TTTGATCTCTCTAATTAATATGTTTGCAATTGATTTTCGGATTATTTTGCTTGTTTGACAAGCAAGCAAAGTCTAATTGTCTATCAGCACTGAAACCTCGTATTTATACTAATTATGAGTCACTGAACACATTACGGTCCTAATGAGTCTTTCTCTCAGCCGCGAACATAAAAACGCTTTCTCTTATATGTATATTAGTCATAAAAACAAATTTCAAAAGAGACAAGACGTTCCAAAAGGTGATTCAACGAATTTCTAAAAGAGCACACGATAGCTGCTTGCACTGTTCGACAGCTGGGTATCTAGTGCCCTAGTTTCTGGCGACTTTTTTAAGTTCATCAAAGAGTGCGAAATATGGATTATGATTTTAATAAAGTGTTTTACACATTTGAGTTCGTGGCATAATTTGAAAAAATTACAATTATTTGCAGAAAAGTCAATGGTAGGCCTACCAACAGAGATTTCAATCCGCTATGTAGGGCAGTCACATTTTCGAAATTGAAAATATTTGAATGTGACATTTTTTCATATTTTTTAAATCTTTTTCATTTGGTTTCCAAACATGAAATTTTATTCTGAAAACCGATTCCACATATAAAATTGGCAAAGGCCTTCAAAAGCAACGATAAGCGTGATAGGGCAATCATAGAAAAACTGTGGAAGCGCAAATGAGCTAAACGGCAAATTCTTCCAGGTAACATGGCGTACGTAGGCATGCCCATGTCCATATATGTTTTAAGTCACCGCCCGACACTAACCATCGTTTTGGCCGCATTTAACCAACTCATCTAACATCTAGCTCGCTACGGTTTATCTTGCTTCAGCTAGATGATCTCGACGGAGTTTATTAGTTTGCTACGAAATGGTAGAACAACAACAAAATGAAAAAAGAAAAAATATATCTCGTTTTTTGTTTCTTTAAGCCCTATGCATTGGTAATTGAAATCTTTCTTTGTAATATTTCTTTATCAATATCAGAAAATTTTGCATTTTGCCAATTATATTAGCATCCATTGTGTTTGTTAGTTTCATTTGACTTAAATTGCTTTCATCAGCTGTTCGAAATGTCATTTCGAAAGAAAAAATTGAACCTCGAATCAACGCTACCTTTGCAGAACATCAAAAATAAAGAGTTCAATTTTCGAATTCCATTTCATTTTCATTTTACTACTTTACTGAAACATGAGTGAATGAAATATTTTAACGGTCTTAAAGATATTTATAACGTGTGTTTCCTTTATAATTGTTCTACTTATAAAAATGGCGGAAACTTTTCAATTTTAAACCACCAATAAACGGCTAATGAATTTATTAGTTAGTTTCCTATCGTGACTGCCGCTCGGAGGAATCGTCATACCCAGCCACTCGATGTGAATATTTTTTAGATAATTTTGGTTTTTTTTTTTTTTTTGTTATCAAATGTACCACTAGTGTTTAATTAATTTATGATTTTAAAATTATAAATGTAAATTTCTATGCAAAACATTTAGTTTTCATGCTTTTTATTCAATGTTGTTGTTGTTGATATTAGCCCATTCTCTCGATTTAGTTTTAAATTCATTTTCGTTAATTTCTCGCTCGAGTTGTCATTATCAGTGATTTCGTACTTTTCTTTATCCTTATCGTTAGATATTATGAATTACGTAGTATTAAAACTAATCGAAAGTTGTGTGTAAATATATTGACATTCGTTTGTATTTAATAAAAAATGAAATCTTAGTTTGGTAAAACTATATTATAATATTGAAAATCGCTGGGGTGTTTTGCTCTTCTTCTTCGTTTTCTCCTAATCTGTGTCTCGCATCTAATTTCTGTATTCTTCATTATAAAGGTAGTGATTTTGTATATTCGTAGATTTGTTTCCGTAAAACTTGTTGATGCAGAAGATCGTATTATAGTTTACAAAAAAGTGCTTAAATAGATAGTAAAGTTAGAATATAGTTTAGTTACAAGGAATATTTTATATTTAAAATTGTTTGAAGGGTTTTCTTTTCTTTAAATATATATATATTGCACGTTTTAATATATAAGTTTATGAAATTTATATTTTTTTTTTTTTAATTTATGAAATTTCGTTTCCTTTTTTTTTTTGTTTCATTCATATAGATAGTCACGCTTTAGTTTGGTATTTATTTTATTTTATTTTATTTTTTCGGCGTATATTTGTCTAATTGTTTTTCTACTGTGTCTATATAACGTTTTGAAGACAGGTACACTTGTAGCGCATTCAAACACATACATATATGTGTTGCGTTAAATGTATTTCTCGATAGTTGTATTTTTTAATTTTTTTTTATTTATTCTGCTCAACTATTTTTTTTTTTTGGTATATTTCTTTAGTTTTGTTTATTATGTTGCTAAAGTTTTTGTTTTCAGTTTTTCTTTTTCACTACAAACGTCATTATGGAATTAGTCGTTTAATACTGGATAGTTTCCTACATTTCCTACATATATATATATATATATATACTCGTTTATATATATATGGTATGTATTTATGTATATATATAAATATTTATATATGCAATATATTTAATTTCACATTTACTTCAACTTTGTTTGTTTTTTACGTAATTAATTCTTATTCGCGTCTCTAATTGAATTTAATTTTTGGACATTTAAGTTTAACGTTTAATAATATACATACATATATGTATTTATTTATTATTTATTTATTATTATTTTATTGATGTTCAACCAGTTTGTCAATAAATAATGTGCAACAGAGAACTACAACGGCTATGAGAATTTTTACGCAAATTTTCCATTGCCTGCTAGAAAATCTTTCACTGTTAAACAAAAAAATACTAGGTCAAATTTGGAATTTTCTTACTAAATATAATATACTTATATACAAAAACAAACGTTTGTTTGTATGTGTTCAAATAAAAATTACGTATCCTGCGGGAAGAAGCTGCACCGGTGTACAGAAATTCTAGTTAAATACCAGTATTTTGAAGATGAAATTGGTATTTCAGTTTGTATTTCACCATTAGCGAGAGTAATAACAATTTCCACCACCGTGTGTGTTCTTGTTATATCTAGCACGCCATGGCTGAGTTTCTTTCTCAATTGGGCTCCGTTGAAGTGCATAAAATAATGTACATTCTTTGATCTCCACGATAGCCAAGCAAGTTAAATGTTATAACAGTTGCGCACGAGGTGCTTGGCTCGAGTCTCAAGACAGGCAAACTCAGCTTTATATTTGTTCTAATTTGTTTTTTTTTTTGTTTTTGACGAAGGAAAAATTCATTTCCATTTAGGCGTGTGACTAGTATTTAACTAGTATAACGCTGATGCATAGTCGGACAATTGGCAGTACGTAAAACATCGCCGTGTTAAAAACACGTTTATGTGAGAAATAGATGGAAGTTAGTACAAAATAGTTGGCAACTAGTATTTTTTCCCACGGGTTAGCTGTAGCTGAGTGCGTTTGCTTTAAGTGTTGCTGATGGGGGTCTAGCTTGGTCGTAGTCAATGCGGTTCTCTGTTGTGTACATTTATTTGATGATTTTTCCAAAAATATTGTATATTTTTCGAAATATATATCTACGCATTTATTTCATTTGCAGAGTTTGTTTGACATACATGTATATAGATTCTTTTTGTTTTTCATATAGTAACATTTAAAAGCTATACATCGAGATATCTTTTATATATATTATATATATATGTATATTTATATATACTTCTTTCTATAAATAACCATTTAGTTTTTTCGTAATTGTATTTTAATTTTGTCTGGTTTCTATATCCATTTATAAATATTTATTGCGTTGTTGGCATTTCCGATTCCGTTAATCGGCTTACTTTCAACCTCTAAGTATTTGTAAATATATATTTATGTATCGTAAGTTTTCGTGAATTTTTCGTATATTTTTTCTATGTAACGTATAGTTTTTTTTAATAGTTTTAAATTATTATTATTATTTTTTTTTTTGGTTTTTTCTTTTATTTTATTATTTATGTTTTGTTGTTTCGCTCTAAAAAAGTGCTAAAATGACGCTTACTACTCCATGAGTAGAAATTCCCTAGTTGTTTTTACTTTGTTCTTGTATTTGTAAGTATCGGTGACAAGTCATATTGTTGTTTAGTTAATTCAAAGTAAAAAATTTAAATGAATATTTGCTTGTAATAAGCGCTTTTTGTGCTGCCAAATTCATCGAATTTCTTGAAAAAAAAAATTATAGTTAAACATTTTGCTTTTGTTGCTATTTGCAAATGGTAACACTGTAAAGAGAGATATTTTAAAGTAAACTTCTTTACCTACAAAGCTATCTAATATTTCTTGGCATCATTAAACGGTGTTTGCTGTATACACGGTGGCCTTCGTTTATCTACTCCTGGTTATTAGAAAACTGCTCTCGTATTCTTGCTGCAGCTTGACAAAAACGATTTTGTGATTATCTTTTTTTTTTTGTTATAGGAAAGCTTAGACGATTTTTTCATATATATTTATTATTTTGTTGCTTTAAATTATATTAATTTCTCGACCTAATTATACCTGCTTGTTTAATTTAATTTATAAAGTCAATAGTAACGTTTTTCGAAAAAAAAAACATTAAAAAAAACAAAGAAATCAATGTAATGGAAAAAAGCCAAAGGAAAAATCGAAATAAAAAGAAAGAAATACACAAATCTCGGAAACAATAAAGGATTTAAAAACTCGCATGGAGCTCATGACGAATTGCCCTCATTCTTAAAATAAAAAGTAATGAAATCGTTTTACTACATATGATTATTTAAGTTCGCCTTTTTGCAATATAAAGAATTGGGAGATAATAAATTTTCTCAGATGTCTATATGGTTGTCAAAATGTACAAAAGCCCTACCAAAATTGTTTGCAAATTCACTTTTTTTCAAAATCATATATTTTACAAAACCACTTATTTTGAAAAATCTTTTTTCTGTGCAAAATCACTTTTTTTTTGTAAAATCACTTATTTTGCAAAATCACTTTTTTTGCAAAATCATTTTTTTTTTTTGCAAAATCACTTTTTTTTTTGCAAAATAGTTTTTTTTGCAAATTTTTGGCTATTTTTGATTCCCGGAAAAAATTATTGTGATGATGTGAAAAACTACATGCATTTTGTATCGAAAACGACTCTAGCGATATCAGTGAAATTTGGTACACGTTGACCTCCTTAGGTGTTAGGTGTTATCTGCCAAAATAGCAGCTTAGGGTTGCCATCTAAGGTAACTTAGTTTATAAATACATGACTACAGAATAGACTAAGCCACCATACTAGCGAACTGTATGCAAGATGGGTTCGAGTCATGGTCTGACGGGACCAAACATACAAAATTATAGTAAATCAATTTTTCTATTGAATTGCGCTTGCTCCTCGATACGGAATGTTAAACCCTTCAAGTGTGTATTTGACATGAAATGAAGGCTCCCCATAATAAACTATAAGACCCTCAATGTTTTGGGAAAACATCAAACGCAAACCACGAATCGAAGAAGGAGCTCAACCGGAAAACACTTCTGCTGATACTAAGCTCCAATTACAATAACAATAGACCTTTCCAAGTTCATACCTTCTAATATGATTTCGAAAATATTCCAAAGCTATATCAAGCGATTCAACTGAGCATAACATAATCAAACCAGCTGCTCTACATCACTATCACTCCCTCTATTCATGATGAAATCGTCGATTTCTCGCAGCTGTCATTATTTTTATATGAAATTTTACCGTTTTTAAAGTACTGAGCTCTTAATAATAATAAAATCATGTTTTCTCAAAATTGCGTGGAACTCCTATTCCCAAATCTCAAAAAAAATTTGTTTAGGCCTTTGTACATTTCGAGAACGTTAAGTACATTTTTAAATTTAATTAAATTTGTTTCCTGATTTTTCCTTTCCTTTGATAGAATCCAGCAAAACAGTTTTATTTTTTAATATGCTTTTCGTAAAATAACTAAAATAATCTTATACTTTTAATATTATATTTCCTATAGCTTGTAACGAGCTTCGAGTAAAAAGTAAGTGAATACAACTTTTATCAAAGCAATGCCGATTCTTTATCTTTTTCCATTGTTTTAAGCAATACTTTACCGTTAGCGAGTATCCAATTTATTCAAAAAAATTTTTGTCATTTCCAATTTTTATTTTTATTTTCTTTTTCTGAGAGAGTTCGAGTTTCTCTCTTTTTTGTCTTTATTTTTCAAGTCGTCTTTTCTTTTAATTTCCTTCTACTCCACCTTGAACTTTCACACACCTAACCCAACTGATATTTGCCACAGCTTGCGATAACAACACTACTCTGCGGCTTACCAGTTGCATCACCGGTTTGCGAAATTTTCTCCACCAATTCCAAACCCTCAACTACAAATGCAAATATGCCCGTAAAGCCGCGCATCTCTCTTAATATGATACGGAACTGTGAACCGACGTGCCCTAAATTATCATGACGCTTTTGACTGCGTCGCATGCCAACCGAACCGCGTATGGCTAGTATTTTGGTATCGTCTGGCATAAAGAAGCCATCATCGAATACGGCACGGCCGCCACGCCCATTATTCGATTCATAATCACCTGTAATAATACTTTCGTTTTCCCAACATTGAAATATATGGCAACCCTTATAGCCAAGTACGTCTCGTGTGGTCAGTGCATTGAAATTCTTAGCCATCTTCGGTGCCACATCACTACGCACTTCTATGAGAACGCGTCCCGAATGTTGTCCGTTGATTTCGATGTTAAAGTAATAGATGGGGTAAACATGTACGCTGGGATTAAGGAGCAAAGTTGACTTTGTTTGATGTTGCTGCGAATTACCAGCACTTTGACTATGCTGCTGCTGCTGCTGCTGCTGGTGCTGTTGGTGCAAGTGTAATAGGCTTAGTCCTAAACCGTTGAGATCGTTGCCGGAGAAGAAATGTGAAGTGGTGCTGCGTTGTGCGCCAACTACTGCTGATGTGTTGGTCGTGGTGGCTGGTGTGCCAATCGGAGCGATTTCCGAGAAACTAACGTTAGTCGATTGTTGTTGCTGCAGTAGTTGATGTTGCTGCTGAGCTGTTGTTATGTTTGTCGTGGATTTATTGGAGAGTGCAATGATGTCAGCGTAAGTCTTGTGTATAGGCGAAGAGGAATTATTTGTTTGCTGTTGTTGTTGTTGCTGCTGCTGCTGTTGCTGCTGCTGAGCAACGTTATTGCTCGACGGTTGATTCTGTTGCAATGCCTGTGCGTATGTTGCGTGTGCAAAATTGGCATTTGTGGTGGGTATGTTGCCGTTGAGACTTGTGGAGAGACTTACGTGTGAAATCATTGATGTGAGCAGGCCGTTAGAGAGCAATTGCTGTTGGTGCTGCTGCTGCTGCTGCTGGTGTTGTTGTTGATGTTGTGCATGCTGTTGCTGTTGTTGTTGTTGTTGTTGTTGCTGCTGCTGCTGCTGCTGTTGTTGTTTCAACAACAACATTTGCCGTGAGTACAATTGGGAAATACAGTAGTTGGCTAAAAGCAAGATGGGATTCTGATGGGAGCCAGCAGCAGTGATGCCATTTAGCCCACCAATCACTGAGCCCACGCCAAAGTTATCGAGATTTCCGCCATTTAGTACACAGTTATGCATTTGCACAAGTGCCTGTTTGATAAGTTCAAAATCGAAGACATAACCACAATTGCGTATCATATCATCCAACTTGCATTGTAGGAACATTTCCTGGTACTTGGTCATCAGCCGCTGCTTCTCTGCATGCAACGTAGTGTAGAGTTTCACGGCCTCGGCCGGCGTCTGCTTGTCGAGTATGTCGAGACATAGTCGAGCTTTGCACAAGTTTTCACGTATCTCGGTGATCTCGAGCGTGGGCATGTGATTAAGCAACTCCGTCTCGATTTGCGTTTTAAGCGTGGTGCAGCTTTCCAATATTTTCAGAAGGAAATCACGTTGTTTCAAGACCAAATGTTGCACATCGTTCAATGTCTTCTGCATGCCGAGCAGTTCTTTTGATATGTCAGCGTGTAACGATTCTTTAGCCTCCATCTTATTCTTCACCACGTGCGTACGATGCTCCTCAGTGGCTGCACAGGCGCGACAAAGCAATATATTACAAACACTACACCACAATGTATTCGGCATGGCATGAGTCATGCAATTTTCGGCCATTTTTAATTTATCCAAACTATTGTTGTGATTGTTGTTGTTATGGCCGACACCAATATTGGTCAGATTGCCATTGCTGCCATGATTGACATTGTTGTTGCCGCTATTACTATTCAATAAGCCACTCCCGCTAAGCGCACTCGCCGAACCATTCGAAGCAATCGACGACGAACGCTGCTGCCGATCACGTTCGACGCCACCACCGCCACCGCCGCCGCCGCCACTCTTCAGCTTAAAACTAAGCGTTGTCAGATTTTGGGTAAGATATAAAATCGCATTGTAGGTGGGTAGACTGTCGGTGCGCGGCTCGGGGCCTTCTAGTACGGTACGCTTCCAGCAGTGTACACAAAATATTTCATTGCTATCCTCGCGCACCAACGAATTGACACATTTGAGGCAGAAATAGTGGCGACACGTAAACAATTTGGGTAGACCGTCGTTATCGTTGAAGGGCAAATGGCAACAGCTGCAGATGAGGAGCTCCTCAAGTTCCGGTGGTACGGTCGCCAAGTCCATCTATGGTGAGTTGGGAAAAGGAACAAATATTAGATGACATGATTTATTATTTTCTTCCTTTTTTTGTATTGAAATGTGATGTTTATGTGCAGAGTTAGAGTGTATTAATGTGAGCTGAACTTAAAAATGTTTACAAAAAGTGTTTGTCATTCGTCCTATTGTGTGATCAGTTACATGTTTAAGAGCCACAATTAATTGTTTATTACTTCTAAGTCGATTTTTCGGCTGTTTTTTTTTTACTTTAAGTGCTGCAAGTTTAATAGTTACAATTCAAGCTTGATTGACTTTTGAAGAATCTTCGAGCTTCATAAAAGCAAATAAATGGTAACATTCTCCTTCGAGTGACACACATTAGCCCTTGCCATCCAAAAAATCTCTATCTGAAAGCTTCCGACATTTTAATTGAATTTTGACTGTGAATTGCTTTGTTTCCGGCCATTTAACTCATAGCATAAATTTTTGCAGCAAAAGAAGAAAAAAATATTAATAATATCCTGAAAATATTTATGTAAATAATTTAAAGTAAGTTTTAAACAATACAAAAATCACGGTAAATCATAAAAAATGTCTTATCCTTGTGAATGCCTTTATAAACAGTACTGAATTACTGCAAAAAGTACAAAATTTTTAATAAAAACCTTTTTGAATTACAATAAAAAGGTCAACCATTTCTTTTATTTTCCTTTCATCTCCTTTCCGCTCCAAAAAATGTTTGGAAATATTTATTTTGCTCATACCAGGAAATTAAATGCTTGGCTTGGGAATAACCTCAAAAGCCTTGAGTTGTTTAAATTATGAAGTTTTTCTTTATTTCTAATGTCCTTTGATGTATCCTATTTGTCGCATGCCACAAATTCCTTGCATTTTGTTTTTTACTACGGTCGTAAGGAAGATCAGGGTTCAAATCCTGGCTCTATCAACGCTTAAAATAATTGAAAATATTTTTTTTCATTCTGCTCACCCATCGGCAGAGAATGTCAAGCTCTTCGAGGGTGTTACTGATAGGAAATAAAAGCTCCTCACAAAAATCCTTCGGCTCTTCGGAAGCGGCTTAGAATGGACTATGTGCCCCTCCATTTGCAGGAAATACATCAAGCCGCATACCACAAATTGGAGGAGCAGTTTGGCTGAAAACCGCTTTAGCGGTCACAAAGCGCCACTTATATGTATTCTACAAACCAAAATATGAAAAAATGGTAGTCGCAAGAATTGACTGTTGAAATCCGAAAGTCGCAACCGACAGCAACAACAATTGCAATACAAAAATGTTAGCTACATTTAAAAAGGAAAGCCACTTGTATGAGCCACAGAACAACAAGTAGACGTAATCAACATAATAATAATTTAGGTTACTTTTAGCCGACATACAGCACTTGCACTTAAATATTACATATTTAAGGGAGCATCGCCTCAGTGAAATGTATATAGAAGAATCTTAGTGCTTTAAAGTATCAATTTCATACCACTGATTCCATGGTCTGTTAAAAGCATTGCCCAACGAGCCAAGTGGACGGAGCTTATTCTTTTCAGTTACGGGATTCAGATATCGAATCCAGTTAATGTTATTTTTTTTCTGCCAAATGCACTAGTATTTTACTGGTATGCCGCTGAGGCATGTTTAGACAATTGGCATTTCACATGACGTCGATGTGTACAAAATATGTTAGCTAACTGAATGCAAATTAGTAACATTCTAGTTCCCATGTAGTCGCCTTTCCTGCATGGTTGCTTATACATATATAATACATACATACATACATGTTTTTGTTTAATGAAATAAATGCTAATGACGTTGAAATTGTGAGTACGTGTTTACGACTTTAACAACGGCAGATTGCTTTTTACCTACACACCCATACTAACATATGTACATATGTGTAAGCATATGTGGTTAACCACATAAAACTAAATGGTAGTATGAAATAATATGCAAAATGAGTGAGACCGAAAAGGAAATATTTACTTAAAATGCGTATGTGTCGGGTAAAAAGGTTCATACACACACACACACACACACACACACATATGCTAGACGCGCTCATGTAGAAACTGCTCAATTTAATGTGAGAAACAAAAATATTTATAGAAATCCACTGAAGGAGCAATCAAGGAAAATTTCCAGTCACTCAAATGCACATAACATATTTATACATATATATATATGTATATATTTGGAAAAAAAAAAACAAGTTAATCACCGAAAATGGTCCATGCCATTTTGCATTAAGTCGCATTAAGTGTACGCTCATTTCCATATTTTTATTTATTTTATTGTTTGATGACAAACAACAACTACACACTTCAATTTAGCCACTGTGGAATTTCACCTCTTTTCAAGTAGCTGTTTATAAGTGTGTATATAAGATTTTTGGCCCTCAGCTGTTTCGAGCTTAAGTTACAGCCATTACTGTCTATTGTATATCAAAAAGGTCTCTTGAGGACTAGACTGTTGTGGTTTGTGCGGTTTCTACTCTATCGCATTTTTCGATTTCTTTTCTAGTACCCTCAAGTAGTTATTTAACCATTTTCCCAGGCTTTTAGTACATCTCTTTATTTTTTCTAATTTTTTCTGATTTCTTCTGATTTTTTTCATTTTATTTTGGTAATTTCCTTAACATTGTTTTGTCATATCTTTCGTCCTCTAGTGGTTTTATTTTTTTCTTTGACTTTTACCACATTTTGTATATATTTTGCTGTTCTTATACACTTATAAAATAAAATAAAATAAAATAAAAAAAATAAAAATGAAATAAAATAAAATAAAATAAAATAAAATAAATTAAATTAAATTAAATTAAATTAAAATAAAATAAAATAAAATAAAATAAAATAAAAAATTAAAATAAAACTTAATTAAATATAATTACATTAACTTAAATAAATTTAAAAAAAAATAAATTAAGTCGAAAAAAATGAAATAATATAAAACAAAATTACATTAAATTAAAGAAATTAAAATTAAATGAAGTAAATAAAAATTAAATAAAATATATAAAATATATACAAAAAAAATTAAATAAAAATATAAAATAATTTTTTGCTAATACAATATACTGCGCTCAAATGTAGGCTATTTTTATGCATATAAAATATAAAATTTTGGTCCGAAGTATGCAAGTACAAAAAGGAAAAAAACATTGGCTGCTCAAAATTTATGCTGGTTTTATAGGAATGACGAGTAGAGTTTATTCCATCTGTCTATCTATCTGTACGCAAATTATTCCCCCTGTTTTTGAGATAAGTCAACCTTGCTTGGTACACACATACGCAGGAAATCAATGGAATACAGAATATAATAGCGCAATTTGATACACAAAGGCTAGCCACACTTGCCAAAGTGAAAGCTGCGTGGACTAATTTTATTTTCTGCAGTTCAAATGCAATCATACTAAAAACATTAGGTTTAATTACTTTCTCTTTTCGTTGCACATTTAGAGGCCAACAATAGTTCAAATATCAAATTATTAGAAATAAATTAAGAATAATTATTTATTTCAGGGAGAATCTTCGGAGCATTAGAGTGTATTGTCCCACTATAATTTAATTATTTTTTCGTAAAATATATTTTTCAAAATTTAATTTCATAAATGGAAATTTTCACTTCCATACATATTCACGTCAAACACACATATTTATGTATGTACGTATGCAGCTGGTTATATGAATATTCATGCATATATTTTCACACAATTGCCATACATATATTCTATATGGGTAAACAGAAATGTAAAATGCATATTTTTTTCATATGTAAAAACGTTTTAAATTAAGCGCATATTGTTTGCATGTGTCTAAACATATGCTTGTATTTACAGACACATACATACATACACACATGTGTAAATATGTTGATCAACGCTTAATGAATTTTGAAATGCACATTTGCGGTTGTGGTACACACATTCACTGGCCAAAACGCCAGGAAAACCTCACAAAAAGAAGCATTCAAATAGCAAAAACCATGGAATAAAAATGAGCAAACAGACAAACTTTTATACGAAATTGCAGCAACAAAAATATTGGCTTAAAAAGTTTACTTTAAACCTTGTCGCTTTTAGTAGAATAAACAGAAATAAATAAAAGTGTTTAAAATATTATGTATGTGTGCATGTATGTATTGTCAACAGGTATATAATATCAGTACATACTGCAGTTGCAATTGCAGTTGGTTGTCAAGGAAATTTCTACTTTTGTTTACTTCTTTAATTGAGCACTTTGCTTTCTGCTCCACTTTCGACTTAAATGGCTGAATTTAGGCAATTCAAAGTTTTCTCTTAAACGTTTCAAGTATATATTTGTATTTAAAACATTTATTCGTACATATATCCTGCGGGGAGGGGAAACACAAATTTGAAAGACTCATATATTGAAGATGCATTAAAACATATTTACATATTTCTCCTTTTCAGCATAAAATTCTTTAAACATTGATTGTATCAACTAGTTTATTTACTTAACTGTCGAATTTTTTGAATGTAACTGTTTCTCATGGGTAAAATTGTGCGATGGAACTCGTTGTCCTATAACTTTTTTTGGTTTAGCCTTTTTTTGTATTTTTTTTTATCAATTGGGAAGCAGATATAACTCAAAGATGATCTGGATCATGATTTCCCTTCGCCCTGCCCTGGCATTCAAGAATTTACCAGCGGTAAATCTTGCCTGTCGCAAGAGGTGACTAGAACGCAATAGTTCCCGCGACAATCGGGTCTTCAAACCGGAGCGAACCGCATTTTTATTCGGTCAAGGACATTCGAAACATTCCACGACCATTTTGGGAATCTTTTTGGAGTGACTATAACACAACAACATCATAATATCTCTTCTTGACCAAATCTGTGATTTTTACTTTTTTCAAATCATTGAATAAGAAGTTCGAGCTCATATTATTGAAACTTAAATAATCTCAGTCTGAGTTAAAAACTACATATAATGTATCTACAATATATTTAATATAATATTTTAATAAAACATTATAAATTATACTAAGATGTTCTTCTTTT